AAAAAACCACGATGGATGAACTTACCTTGGTCCGCCATCTCTCTCTCTTCCCCATCGCGACCTCGTCCCCCTTCCCTCCCATCCCGACTTCGTCGTTCCTGCGTCCTCTCCCGACTCCCCCCCCCTGCCCCATCCTATCCCGACATCGTAGCTCCAACTCCTCTGGCTGGGGTTCCCCCCGCCTTATCCGACGTAAAAAAAAAAAAAAAAAAAAACGATCGATGAACTTACCTTGGACCGCCATCTCTTTCTCTTCCTCATCCCGACCTCCTCCCCCTTCCCTCCCATCCCGACTTTGTCGCTCCTGCGACCTCATCCCGACTCGCCCCCCTTCCCCATCCTATCCCGACATCGTAGCCCCAACCCTCCAACTCGGGTTTGTGACGAGCTACTTCCTGAACCCATGCTATCTTTCGTACCCCTGTTTTTGTATCAAACCAACCCCATTAAAAACCCCTTTCGTTTTCTTCTTTTCGGATGTCGCATTTCCTTTTTTTTTTGGAAGTTTTTTTCGAATTTCGGGTTTTTGTTTTTCTTTTTTTGCAAGTCCGGAAATACATGGGAATTTACGTGCGTCTTAGCGACCGCACGAGGAATTGGACCCGCCAGTTGGAAATTCCGGGATAAGCGAAACTTCGACGTGTCCTTTTCGTATGTGTGAATGTTCTTGGTTGCGTCGGAGAAAACTCTCGGAATTTTGCGTGAATAAGAATAGGCGTAGGATTTTCTTTTCCTGCGTCGCTTTTTCGCGCGTGGATATGGTGATTTCAATTTTGAATTAGGATAGAAGGAAGCTGTAACTGTTTCGGTGCCTTTTCTCTTTTTTTTTTGGTTAACGCCGCCGCGTATACAAGCTTTCTTCTCTTTTTGTCCCCCGCATCGCTCCCTCCCGCGCCTCCTTTCCCTTCTCCCTCCTTTTTCTCTCTCCCCGTAACTGTTTTCCTTCTCTCTCTCTCTCCCTCTCGCTTCTTGATCGTCTGAATCTTGGATCCGTCTTGCGCTACGTCTCGCGCCTTTTCTCTTCTCACCCTCTGAGTCTGGCGCACGACGCCCGGTCCATCCATCGATAACTCCCGCTCACCAATGAGGTGCGTGGATGAATAGGACCTTCCTATTGTGCGGCGAATCTGATTGGTTGAACCTTGAGTTTAGAGGGATCAACATGGCGTTCGTAGAGCATTCTTAGCAAAGTCTTCTCCTCCTGCTTCTCCTCTTACACCTCAGCTTTCCCGTCGCTTTCTCCCCCTTCTATCTCCCCTGTCGCGACTATAAAACCCGCAAGCGCGTCCGCAAATCTCTCTTACGTTCTCAACTCTCAAGCCAGCTTCCGGGAAGCAGTGGCTAGGCAGAGTGTTTGGTGCGAGTCGGAAAGTCCTATCGGGTTGACGATAGGCTGGCCGGTTGCGCGCTGGATCGCCACGACGGACTGTGGGATCAAGGCGAACCGTGTCGAGTCTACGACAACGGGGTGATGATCGCAGTGGTGGGAGTTAGCACGCGGTGGCCGGGATCGTCGGTGCGGGTATGAGGATTGATGATTGGAGTTGAGTGAGTGATTGGCCCGGGGCCCAAATGGAATTAACGGCGAATGCGCCTTTGTTGTTGCGGATCTTTCTCTTTGACAACGCTAAACTTCCTTCTTTTGGGTTGCGTCATCTCCTATCTCGACTCTTCCCGCCCCCCCCTTCCCCTTCTCCTCTATCTTTGAACAATGATGTGTCTCGATGCTTCTCTCCTTCTCCTTCTCTTTTGGATAAGAGTGAATCTGCATGCTTTCCTTGTGTAAAAGAATTTCTTCCGGAACTCTTCCATTAGTTTCTTGGGTAATCCTCCTGCGCAAGGACCCCGCCTTTTTGTCTTGTGAACGGTGGATGCGTGTGTACTGTGTGAGCAATCCCTCTTTTCTTGTGCATGGCTGATTTTTCGCATCTTCCACAGTGAATGAATGTATGGAAATGCGCGTCTCTTTGGCGTTGATTAGATGATTGTCGTCGGGATTTTGTCCGAGAATGCAAGAGTGTTTAGATCTGTAGTTTCGGATGCATTGCGCATGTCATCTGCCTTATGCTGCACGACATCAACAACCAAGCCACCAGGAGGCCTTGAGAAACAAGGCGCCGGGGACCACGTTGTGTTGGCTCACTAAAACTGAGTCGCGGGTCGGTCCCTTAGCCATATGCATGATCAAGTTGATGCGTGTTTTTTTTTTTTTTCTCTCTCTCTCTCTCTCTCTCTCTCTCTCTCTCTCTCTCTCTCTCTCTCTCTCTCTCTCTCTCTCTCTTGTGTCGAAAAGGATTGATCGGGGGATGCATGAGTGTTTCCTGTTCTTGATGACGTCTCGAGATATTTGCGGTTAATTGATATGTGGACTGACAAGCACCCTTCGATCGGGCGTCAGCCTCCCGTATCTCCCATCTCAACACGACCTTTTCCTTACAGCGAGGAAAGGACACGTGTATGCGAGTGGGATGTACGAGAAGCCGTCGCACAAATCGGGGGGCAATATTACTTCCCTCCGGCCAACAGTTGTTCAGGGTTCGTAGATGTTGGGTTTGTCATTATCGATACGCACTTTCCACCCTACTGGATATTGTTGCCATTTAACGAACTGATCGTCATCCCGTGGACGACAGTAGAGCCCCATTGGCCTCGAACCCTGTGTACGGAGTGCCAGCGCTTCAATCACTACGAAGCGAAGGGTTTCCACTACCGAATACGGAGTGAAGACGAGCATAAGGAAAGAGGCACGCGGTTGAGACCATCCACATCGGACTCATAACTGACCAGCGAACGACGTCGAGATTTGATACGAAAACGGGACACGCGAAGCGTACCAAAGCCCTTCCGCTCTAAACGACGGGCCGTGGCACGGTGGGAAGCCCGACAATACTTTTTGGATTGAATTTGGATTTTTCTCTCTTTCGCGCCCTGCCTGCGCGCGCATTCCGCGACGCGCGAAAGCAATCGACTTGCTTCATCGGACCAACACGGGGGATTTCAGTTCTGTTTGTGTCCCCACACTCAATTTCCAAAAATCCTTGGCACACCCCATCTTGCTGTTTTTCTGGGCCTTTTTCCGCACGTCTCACACTCCGAACGAAAGACAACACAGAGCGTGAGGTTGCGCATCACAGGTTCCCCCTCCCCTGTCAATCAATCAAAAAAAAAAAAAAAAAAGGGTAACTTCGGCGCAGTCACGAAAACAGTTTGAAATTGCACTTAGGCAATCCCGCGAATACAACACAGCCCCACTTGACCCCACCTGTGCCGAATCGTTGGTTACATACATTCAGCATTACCGGCCCTTTTGCCTCAAGTGCAATTACAAACTCAAACCCTGACTGCGCCGTAGTTTTCTCAAAAAAAAAAGTAAAAAAACCGAAATAAGTCGCTTTCAAGCCCCGCTCAAGTTCGAGTGTGTGTGTGTGTGTGTGTGTGTGTGTGTGTGTGTGTGTGTGTGTGTGTGTGTGTGTGTGTGTGTGTGTGTGTGTGTGTGTGTGCCCGAGCTTCCCCCTCGCCCTGACTTCCCCCTTCCTGCCGATTTCAAACCCCGCCTAGATAATCCCCGTCTAACCCATCCCGACTTCGCTCCTCCAGCTCGGGCTTCCCCCTCCCCTATCCTGACGTGAGCCAATCGCTCCCCCCTCCGTTCAACGCCTCTCTCTCTTCCCCATCTCGACCTCCTGCCCCCTCCCTCCCATCCCGACTTTGTCTCTCCTGCGACCTCGTCCCGACTCCCCCCCCTCCCCCATCTTATCTCGACATCGTAGCTCCAGCTCCTCCAGCTCGGGTTCCCCCTCCCCTATCCCGACGTGAGCCAGCAGGATGAGGGAGTGTGAGGCCTGGAAGAGCCCGGCAGGGAGTAAGAAGGTGTTGGAGAACCTTGTAAGGTTGAGTTAGGGATTTCGCGGGTTCAGGGGCATTTGCAGGACTTAGGCAGGCTATGCCCGTAAGTTCTAAAATTCTTAGTAGGCTCCTAGTCTTATTTTCATGGAATTTTCTGAATTTTCTGATGACTTTTCTGAATGTGCTCGTTATGGGACGCTGGCCCCGTTCCCAGTTTCTGCCAATTTGTGAGGATATGGTTGTATTTATGGGACGCTGGACCCGGTTTCCAGCAGGTGCTGCTCCCCACCAATAGATGGAGCTTGTGTTTTCCAAAAAAAAAAAAAAAAAAAAAAAAGGTTATACCACCAGTACCTCCGAGCCTATTTTCGACGTGGTACTGGCCAGTACCCGAACTTTTAGGAGGCCGGGCCCGACAAAGGCTGCCGTTGATAAATCTGATCGGCGGCCGTGAAAATGTTTCGGCCTCCTGAAAGGTCGGAGGCCGAGTATTCTCGAACCGTCAAAGGTACTGGTGGTTAAAAAAAAAACAAAAAAAAGAGAAGTTTCCACCGGGCGTTTTCCAGGTATAATGCAAGTTGGCACTGGGACTGGGTATAGCCGGTATTCCCATCTTCATGTGGGGTAAAGATGCAATTTTCCTTCATTTGTTTTGGCGGGAAGGAGTGGTGACTGCAGTTGCAGTATGAAAGCATAGCGAGTGTTCAAATCCTGACGTCAGATCGCACTGTGCTCTCCGGTGGAGTTCAGCGGCCCTCACGAACCCGACCCGGAATTGCTGTCAGATTCGTTCGAGAATCGGTTTAGAAATCGGTTGCCGCCAACCCGTCTTCACCCGAATCGAATGTACGGTCATTTTCGCCGCATTTCTACGGAAAGGTGGTCCAGATACGGCTACAGCGACCATACGTTCTATTCGGGGGAAGACAGTAGTCGGCCTGGAGTGCGGAGATTGAACCCTCGGAAGTTACGTATCTGTGACCAGCAGGTAGACACGTGGCTGCACAGCAAGGGGCTGACCTCTCTCTCTCTCTCTCTCTCTCTCTCTCTCTCTCTCTCTCTCTCTCTCTCTCTCTCTCCGCCCTCCCTCTTTTCGGCAGGAGACACAATATCTGTGAATGGATATGGCAGCGATGGATTCTTGCGGTCACGAGATGGCCGATGGCCACGTCAGCATGCCGCTACCCGCTGAAGAGAAGTTTACCGTTGCTGGTATGTAATTCAACCCCATGCTCTCTCTCTCTCTCTCTCTCTCTCTCTCTCTCTCTCTCTCTCTCTCTCTCCCCCCGCCCTGTCCATGCCCTATTCCTCTTGTTCTCCTACTTGGACCTGTCTCTGTCATTCGTTGTCGCTCTCGTTCTTTTTCTTTGTGCCAAATGGTTGGGCAAGTTCCAATCTTTTTTTTTTTTTTTTTGTGGTTCCCTCCCCTCATTTTGGTGGCAAAGGAAACATGGAATCCCTCCGCACACTGATGTTTGTGGAAATACATCAAAAAGAAAACAACCCTCCCGCCCGCCCCCAACGCGTTCATCAACAGGGGTACAAATGCCCCAACCCATCTACTGAGGAACAAAGAAGAAGAGCGAAGCACATAACTGGAAGATCGGAAGCTTATTATAGAGACTTTGGAATATCTCGTCATACATTTCGGGAGATAGCTCATGCTTTCTCTCTTTTTCCGCCCCCTTCACTCATCGAACCCCTCCCCCACGAATATCCTTTTTCCATCTTTCTTGTTCCTCGATTTGAGCGGCTGTGTCTGGACAGGTGTCACAAACGCGCACGCACTCACAAAGAGAACGACGTACACACACACACACACACACACACAGAGAGAGAGAGAGAGAGAGAGAGAGAGAGAGAGAGAGAGAGAGAGAGAGAGNAGAGAGAGAGAGAGAGAGAGAGAGAGAGAGAGAGAGAGAGAGAGAGAGAGAGAGAGAGAGAGAGAGAGAGAGAGAGAGAGAGAGAGAGCGGGCACAGGGAGAAAACGGAATGTGAAGATAAATCTGGCTCTAGAGAAGGACACGAGGGAGGCATAGTGGAAAAGATCGAAGTGAAACTAACGCAAGTTATAAAAATACAATTTTTTTTTTAATGTTCTCGTGGAAGTGGGGTATGGCTAAAAGCGAGAAAAGGTTCTTAAGATTTCCAGAACATTTTTTTTATGGGTTGATTGATTGATTGATTGATTGATTTTCCTTACCAGGGATTTGAGGGAAGCGTTGATTTGCTGTTGTTAGATAATGAATGGAAGTCGTAAAAAATCAATCGACACGTCGATTGATCAATCAAATGGATGAACTATTCCCATCATTCAATTCGTCGAAGTAATCAAATCCATCAACCAAATCAATCGAATCAATCGGTTGATCAATAGAATCACTCGGTCGATCAATCCAATCAGTGGAATCAAGGAAATCAATCGAATCAATCGGATCTATAATCGAGTCAATGGATAGGCCAATCAATCGAATCAATCGAATCAATCGAATCAATTGGTAGAGTGATCGAATCAATCGAATCAATCGAATCAGTCGGATCAATCAGATCGAGTCGATGGACAGGCCAATCAATTGAATCAATCGAATCAATCCGGAGGTTGATTGAATCAATCAATTGACGAATGGACTCGTCGATCGACCTGCCATGCAATTTGATCAATTGATCCAATCGGCCAATCGATGCAATAGGATAAATCCATCCATCCATCTGTCGAATCATTCGGCCAATGGATGTTAGATTGGTCGATCAAAGACCTGTCAGCCAGTGGTATTGATCAAACATATGCATCCGTCGATCGACTATCAACCAATCAACGGACAAATCTGTCGTTTGTGTCGATAGATTGGTCAATCAACAAACCAATAAACCAATCTGTCGATCAATAAACCAATAAACAAAACGGTCGATCAACAAACGAATCAACCAATCAACCCATCAACCAGTCGGTCGATCAATAAACCAATAAACCAATCAACCAACCAATCAACCAATCAACCAATCAACCAATTAACCAATTAACCAATCAACCAATCAATCAATCAAGCTAATCAAGCCAATCTATCAATTATGTCGATGACTGCATTCATGATCAACCTAAAGTGATCGCTGGATGGATCTGTCCGTCTGTCGATATAGATCTTCTTCTCCTATCTGTCGACAGATAAGTTTATCGACGAGTGAGGCAGTCAATCGACAGAACGATCAATCGAACCCTTCTAGCCTAATTAATGAATTAGCAATCCATTAGTCAATCAATCAATCAATCGATCCATCAATCAACGAACCAATCAATCAATCCATGAATCAACGAACCAATCAATCAATCCATGAATCAACGAACCAATCAGTCAATCAATGAATCAATCAATGAATCAATCAATGAATGAATCAATCAATCAATCAATCAATCAACCAATCAACGAACCAATCAATCAATCAATCAATCAATCAATTGGTCAATCAATTGATGAATCGATCAAGCGAATCGGTAAACGGCCGAGTTTACACCACTGTGAATCTCTCTTCAACGATGTGCATGCCTCTTTTGGGCATATAAAATGGCTACTAAGGCAATTGCAACCCACGTCGAGCACTGCGAATGATTAGCACGTTGGATATAATTTGCAATATATAATTTTTGCATGATATTTTTGCCTTTCTTTTTCCGTTTTGTATATATTTTTCCTCATGCATTTTTTTTTTTTTCATTATATATTTTCGACCATGGAAATATGCAAAACGGTGGGACCAAACCAAAATGTCCCGGGACCAAACCAAAATGTCCCGGAACGAAACCAACGTACGTCTGCAAGGAAAATGAGCAACAGCGAGATGACAATACCCAGATTGCACAAACACATTGAAAGCCAGAAAGTTTCACAGTGTCCAGAAAGCAGCATTGCACCAATATAACACCAATGGAGAATCGTAACAAACCAAATGTCAATGAGAGCTTGCTCTCGCCACCACCGACATAAGTGTCCAGGCCCTTCTCCCTACTTGGCGCTCGGTGCCCAGCCTACTCCCTACACAGCTACTATCTGCCTACTAATGAACAATGCAACTGTTGACGTCAGCAGCCAACGAAGTACTTGAAGATGTCGACCAATGCAGACCATCGGCAATACCAGGTATGTGTCCTCACATCATCATCGTTCTCTCTCTCTCCCTCGACTTTCACCCACGTCTTCCCTCTGTACACCCGAAGACCACCCCTGCGCCTCACTGTAGTCCAAACCCCAGCCAGCTATGGAGGCTGGGCTATGGCGGTGCCCTCGGCAGCGCCCTTCTTCTCGCACGACCGCACGCACACAGCACCTTGCCCTTAGCGCACAGCAGCATTCGAGCCTATGCTCCAGCAGCGCTGCTGCACAAACTGGCAAGTGCCCGAATGAGCCTCTAGGCAGCGAGCTCTTTCCTATATGGAAAGAGTCTGCCTGCCCCGACGGCCTGGCTGGGCTGGGCCTGTGCCCCAGAAGCTTCGGGTAGGCCCCAAGAGGCTGTGCCTCTGCTGCAGCTGCTGGGCCTCATTCAGTTAGGCTCCCCAACTATTTGTGTATGTTGCTGTGATTCCTGCCCAGGGCCTGAAGTTAGAAAAGGCCTGGAAGGGCGAAGAAAGTCTTTGCTGCCCGGGCCTGGGTTCCCTCAACCAACTGGCGCCGCACAACTGCCTGGACCCCAAATACGAAATTGACAGTAATGGGCCTCTCGTGATTTGTTAGGCCCGCCTTCACTTAGGGCGGGCACATCTGTATCAGGGCCCCTTAGGCCTGCCGAGGAACCAGATCCTCGCATTCCTTCCTCCTTTACTTCGATGGTTCCCTGAGAAGTCTTCTAATCTGCAGGCAACTTTCCCTTGAGTTCTCTTTCATAGCCTGCAATCACTTGAGGTGCTGTTCGCTGGAGTTCTTCTCTAGTGAACCACCGATCTTCACTAGGATCAAGATGATGCCTGAATCTGACATGATATTGCATCCTTGGCTTGGAAGGACGGCCTCTGCCGGGAGGTTTAGGCACTGGCATCATTCGATGCTCCATGATTTTGTCGATGTCGACATTACCATCCATGGTTGGGGGCAGCATTGATCGTTTGGAGGGAAATTGTACAGTCTCTGCGAAAGGTGCCAGTTTTGAAGCGTGAAAGACTGGGTGTGTGCGTAGGTGAGGTGGGATGCGAGTCACATAGGAAGGTCCATCTATTTGATCCCCCACTATGTCTAGGACCTCCCAAGGACCGAAATATTGTGGCATTAACTTTCTACAAATTCCCAATTCCTGTCCTACTTCAGATGATTTAACCCATACCCATTCTCCTACCTGAAACTGAGATGGCCGTCTGTGCTTGTTCTCGGATGCCACCATGGCATCTTGAGCTTTCTTAATGTGCTCTACAGCCTGTTGCAGCATGTGTTCATATTTGACAGTGAACTCTATGCTGCCGGGTGGTGCAGATGGCTGAGTTTTTGGTGGTAGGAAATCTAAGGCGGTTCGAGGCTTCCAACCAAGATGCAGTTGGTTGGGAGTCTTGGTAGTAGTGCTATGTACAGCGTTGTTATACAAGTTGGTGATGAGAGGCAATTTCTTGTCCCAATCATCCTGACTTGGCTTAATGTAATGCCTCAGCATGTGCTGCACTACTCGGTTCATGTGTTCCGCCTGACCATTTGACTCAGGGTGATTCCTTGAAGTCATTTGCAATCTAGTACCCATCTGTTGGGCTGTGTTTTGCCACAGTTCGCTTGTAAAGCGAACATCCCTGTCGCTAACGATGGACTTGGGTAAACCAAAGTCCCGTACGTAGTTATCCATAAACAACCTGAGGACGTAGTCAGTTTTAGGAGTCTCTGGCATAGCGATTAGTCGTGCATACTTGGAAAAAACGATTTACTATAACGAGGATGTGTCTTTTTCGACTTCTGCTGGTCACAAGAGTACCCCTGAAGTCCATGGACACACTTTGACCAAAACCTTTAGGAATCGGCAAGGGCTTGACTAGCCCAAGCGGAGCCTGAGTCCTAGGTTTGTCTTGTTGGCAAACCTGGCAGGTTTCAACGTATCTCTTTGCATCTTGCATCATAGTGGGCCACCAGAATCTCTGCAAGTATGCACGACTAATCGCTATGCCAGAGACTGCTAAAACTGACTACGTCCTCAGGTTATTTATGGATAACTGGGTGCGGGACTTTGGTTTACCCAAGTCCATCGTCAGC